GGGCCGGGGGCGGGACCCGGGGTGGGCGCCGCGGTCAGGGCCAGGGGACCAGGGGCCGTGGACCGGGCTGGGCGCTCGGCCCCAGGACCACCAACGATCTTGTAGGCCCCGGAAAGCATCCGCGGTGCTGGTTCAAGGTTCCAGGAGGCACTTTGAACCTATTTACTTGAGTTGAACTCGAACCCATGCTCTAAATTCTGCAGTAATGAGACCGGCAGCCCCTTCCACAGCCAGCAGCCGTGGCGGCGTCTCCTACATGGCCGACGGAAGACTGAGGTTCTGGGGAGCAGAGAATGGAGCAGCTAGGCAGACAGTAACAGGCAGGAGTAGGGTGCCAGTGGCTCCAGCCTGTAATCCAGCTGCTGGGGGGACTACGATGTGGGGTCCTGCTGTGAAGCCAGTCCCCCCCGAAGGGAAGTCTTATCTCCAATTAGCCACCACAAAGCCTCAAGGGGAGCTGTGGGCAAGTGGTGTAGAGCACTAGCCTTGAGCACAAAAGCTCAGGGAAGGTATCCAGGCCCCCAAGTTCCCATGGCTGGCACAAAAAAGAGGTGATAAGGAGTGTTCTTATGGACTCAATGAACCCCCAAATTCATGTGTTAAACGTCATAATCTCTAAGGAGACTGTCCCTGAAGATGGGGCCCCATGGAGTAATAAATGTTGAGTGAAGTCATTATCTAGTAGGAATGGTGTCTGGACAGGAAGAACGGCCACACACACACACCCTTCCGTTAGCCAAGGAAAGCACCTTCCCCAGGAACATAAGACACTGGCATGTAACCTTCCAGTTCACAAGTGTGAGGAAATAACTGTCTAGTATTTGAACCAGCCAGTCTAGTGTAACCGGTTCCAACTGCCAGAGCTGAGTGCTCCAGGTGGCTTCGTGAAGGAGGTGATGCTGAATAACGGGAGGTTTCCAGGAAGACAAGACCTAGCACACAAGGGCTAGGCTGGAGGGTGTAAGTTGTTGCTCAGGGAAGGTAGTGGCCAAGGGTGTGTTCTGGCAGAAAAGGAGAAAGAGACCATACTATAGGTGTAAAATGGCATGTGGACAGAGTTCACGTCGTTGTGGTGCTGGTCTCCGTTACTCCTGAGCACTCTAGAAGCTGGGGGTGGGGGTGGATTGATTGTCTCCCACTGAATCATGGAAATTATCCAGTAGTCCAGGAAAAGTCTGAGGAAGACCTTAAAGTCACAGAAACTGGACAGAAGAGGGGGGAATTTGAGGAACAGGAGTGTTGTGTTAGCACTCTCCAAAAAGCAAAAACAACAAAAGGTTTTATGTGTACCTATGTTATAACATTGATACAATAAATTAAGATATGTTACAATTAATATAGTATAACTAATAAATGTTAATAATTGGCTGATGGCTCATGCCTGAATCCTAGCTACTCAAGAGGCCGAGGCCTAGAAGATTGATGTTCAGAGCTAGCCTAAGCAGAAAAGTCCACAGGACTCCATCTCCGGTTGGCTGACAAGTCCTGAGGTTCAGAGGCTGAGTTCACGCGTTGCACAACCACGAGAAGCAATGGAGCAGGGCCAGTCACAGTGTCAGGTGCAGTCCAGTTGG